TAGGGCGCACGCAGTCGAATGCACACGCACTGGCACACACACACACACACACACACACACACACACACACACACACACACACACACACACACACACACACACACACACACACACGCACACGCACATGCAGACCCCCCAAAATAATAATGTCTTTCAAAAGTTGCCCTGTTACATTAGCCCAATTTTGCTTCATTATTTCCCGATAAAGGCTTGCACCGACCGCTCTGCCAGATCAAAACAACACTGAAATGTATCTCCAATGGATTATCTATAAGCTCGACGCTCAGCCTGTTTTATGCTTCTGGCATCTTCTATTCTTATTTTTAATCATTTCAGATCAAGAGGTTTTGGGGGGAAAGAAGAAATAGTGAAATAGGGCTCGAAGTTACCTGAATTATGATCAAAACAGTGCAAGTCGAATACAAGGTGACCTTCAATTAGTTTTAGACGTATGTTATCCGTTCACTGACTCTGTTGGGCTAAAACTGCCCTCAGTATTGAGACAAAGGTTCGAAGAAAAGCAGTGTAGTGAGAGAGAGGCTCGAAGAAATTCAACCTCTTCGTTTATTTGTTTTGTTAATTTGCTTAAAGAGAAGTATATCGACACAATAATGACCATTTAGTGCGAGGAAAAAGGAAGACATACAGACGGAAACAACGCAGGGAAAGAAAAGAAGTAGAACCTACCAGTGACGCTCTTCAACAATCGCGCAAACCCTTTAACTCTTTAAGGACGGAGCGGACGCATAATATGTCACGCCAGAAACAGACCAAAATGCGATGTTGTAGCAAATCGCTACCATAGAATTTTTACAACGTTCTATCTGCTCAGTACCTATTATAGTCTTGAGAAATTTGACGTCAAAAAGTTTGAGTTTCACAACATGTCAAGCTTTTCTTAATGCGGTTATTTGAATATTTTGATAACGACTTCGAATGATCCTATGGATTTTATAGAGCAGATAGGGGGGGGGGGGGGGGGGCTCTCGTGGCCTAGAGGTTAAGGTGTTGGCCTCTCATTCAAAGGTCCCGGGTTCGAATCCGGGTGGCAACCGAAAAATTTTCTTCTCTAAACTTGTCTTCTTTCACCTCATTTCCTACTCTCTAGCTATATTCTGTCGTCTGCTTTCGTCTCCTCTTTCTACCCCCACCCCTTCACCTCCTTTGCCCCCTCCTCTGGGCTCCTGACTCTTTCTGCAGCCTTTCTACTGCTACTCCTTGACTCCTTCTTTCAGCTGTCTTTCTGCCACACCCCTGATCTTCTGGTAGGAAAGATCTACACCTAGCCTTCTCGGACAAGGGCGAAAAATCTCGGAGGGCCCGTGTGCAAGTTGCGCAAGTTAAAGATCCCTTGGTGGTCTAAAATCGATAAGAGTAGGCTCCGTCCGCCACCCGGGCAAAATTCAAAATTTCCTACCAACTAAAAGTATTAGGTGTGTCCCGTGCGCTCATATGAGCTTATGCAGTTGCGAGCGCCGTAAAACACTTACTCAAAAAACAAAAAAGAGCAGATAGAACATTTGGTTTCTCACCCCATGGTCTTAGTAAATAAAATGGCCAAAAATGTTTGATAGAACTGAACCTTGTTATTATGTGATATCGACATTTCGAACCATCATACTCAAAATCAGAAACACGAATACGCATGCAGTATTTCATATTACGCATGTTGTTGTCTTTTTTGTATCTTTTTTTTGGTCGTGCGTCCTAAACTTAGAGCCTATATTTGCAGGTTGCGTAAAAATGTGTCAACAAGGTACAAATTGTTATGCGAAGCTCTTTGGAGGTCGTCATTTTATCTCTGACCGAGGTGCCCAAACGTGTGTTGTGACACATATGATGCAATTTAGAGTGTGAATGGCGTTGTAAAGAATTGAAATTTTCTGTGGCGGTAGTCAAATTCATTGATGATAGTTTTTGTTGCGGTTTCTATTGTTCTACAAAGAATTAGTAAAAGTTATAGCAAAACAAGCATTACTTATCAGCCCATCCTTGTATTGTTTTATGTCCCATGAGCAGCAGATTAAGACCAAAATGCAATTTTACAGCACATTTTGAACCTGGATGTGCAGACTTTAATCAGAAACACGAATTTGCATATGCCATTTTGTATGCATGATGTTTCCTGCCTTTTTAAGCTTCAAGCGAGGACTGATATACTCAGTATAGTAGTCATTGGCTTCAGGTAAACAAAACAAAACAACAAAAGTTGTTCGAATTTCTAAACTGCTCTGAAACAGCTCGTTTTCAGGAGATCTGGAAATACCAGAATGGGCGTCCTCTATAAGTTCAGATTGAAGTTCAAGAAATCTTATAGAGATATTTATTTTAGAAGACAATATATCCAGTTTCGTAAAAATGTTCAGTAGGAGAGCCTATAAAAACCAAAAACATATTTGCTTCTCAACATTCAGCCGCTTTGAATATCTTGAAAGCAATCTCCTCGTATTATAATATATTAAGATATCGGTACCAGACTAAAGCAGAAATGTATGTGCGCAGCGTTTTAAACTATCACGTTGAATCGTTAACTCAGTTGTATCCGAAACTGGATATATTGTCATATAAAGTAAAACTCCAGTCTTATTGCCAGCAAAGATTGGGACAATGACCTTTTCTTAGAAAGTGATTTTTTTCTTTCTAAAGGGTCCTTGGTTTTTTTTTTCCTATCCCGGTACACTTTGAGTAGAAGTACTAACTCCGACCGCGAGTGAACTCCCTGTAATTGGGAGACCATAGTTCCATTAAGAACTCTCGCTCTGAGTGGTTTTAACAGTCATTGTATGGCCATGTTAAGTCTTCAGAATGCCATGGGAAAAAGCTCTTCATGTACAAATCAAGAG